GTCCAGACCATAGATTAGACTAGAATATAGTCTATGCTGTAGACTATTACTATATAAGTTGAAGTATAGTCTGACTAGTCTGGACTATACTTTAGTCTTTAGTGTAAACCTCGGTGTACTCTATAGTCTGGACTACTCTAAGGTCTGTACTTTATTCTAAAGTCTGGGCTATAGTCTGGACTACGGTCTATGGTGTTAATGTCCTATTATTATAACCCGGTTCTTTCACTTTTTCCTCATTTCAACATACAATGTTTATGCTTCATTTTATTTGCCTGCTGTATTAATAACGATTGAATTATAACAATTTAAATAATACTCTTTTATACTCTTTAAAAACTTAAAAAACTATTGAAAACAAATTAAAACACTTCAAATTAAAAGCAAATGTTTACAAATGCATTAATATAGTATTGAAACGAGAGAGAGCTTAAGTATGATGATAAAAAGAGAGAGATAATGAAAAAAATAATAAAACAAACGAGTAAATAACGACAATGAACGAATGAATAAAAATTAGAAATCGAAGAGTAAATAAAAATCAATATTAAATTACAAAGCAAAGAGACAATATGTTAGAGTGATCGTTATTAGGGGAGGGGGGCAAAAGGGAGAGAAATATAAACAAACAGCTATAGAGACTGTGGGGCACAGTCGTTTTAAAGCACGATCTTAAACGAATTGCTGTAGTTTTTGTGAGGAGTATATGTTGGGAGCTGGCGTTGGCTGTTTTTAGCAAAACTCGCTGTTATAAACGGAAACCAGTTAGTCGTTACGCTACGAGCAATTGTTTAACACAGAAAAATAAACCTCCGTTGAGGTAAAACAAAAAGAAAGAAAGAAATAGAAGATTTTTGACTTACGTGCAAGCTATATAGTAAAAAAAAAAACCAACAACTACAACAAATGTTATTAAATTAAACGCTAAATACTTACAATTATTGCATAAAAAACAAGTTTCATGTAAAACTAGCTGACAACAAAAAAAATATAGATAAAAAATATTTAAGTGAAGACCTATATAAAACAACAACAAAAAATATAAAAAGTTTTTGAGATAAAAATTGTTATAATAAAAAGCAAAATATTTGAAAAAAAATGTGGAAATTTTAAAATATTTAAAGAAAATTAACGAAAAGTTTCAAAAACCAAGCCAAAAGTACTTAAAAATTTTGTAAAAAAAAGAAAAACTTTAAAAGTGTTACTTACAAAAAAAAACAACAAAAGTAAAGTATGACTTCAACTATTTTACAACCTCCAACAACAACATCAACAACAACCACAGAATCTAGCAACATGGGTTGGTCTCATGATAAATTGCGTTTTTCTTGCGTTGACAACATTGGTTTGAAACAATTATGGAAACTAATTGCATTGGATACAAATAATACAACAACAGCAGCAGCTGCAGCTGCAACAACAACAAGAACAACAGTAACATCTCCCAATACAACAACGACAAATACTGTTACACAAACTGATAACAAGAAGAATAGCAATAATAAAAGTTGCACTAACAACAACAATAATAATGAGGTAAGTTGACATTTGACGGGTGATGTTGGGTGACAAGCATTAAATAGCAGTGTTAGTTGTATAGCGTTTTTTTAAACACTTTTAATTAAAAATTTTAGTAATTTTCTTATATTTTAAAGAAATTATAATAAATTGTAAGAAAATTTATTAGATTTTTGGTTAAAATAAGAAACTTTTATAGAAAAATTTTTAATAAAAAGCTATTGTTATGAAAAATTTGATATTTTAGAGAAAAAAGTTATATTTTTTAATAAAATACCTAATAAAAATGAAGCATTATTTTATTTTTCTAAATTATATACAAAATTTGCTTGGAGAAACATTAATTTATTAATAATTTTTCTTTTAAAACAATAGGTTTTACTTTAAGCCCTTTTTAAACTACCTTCCGGTTAATTTATAAGTATGAAATAGCAACATTTAACTTCATCCATATGTTGACATTAATTATGCCAAATTTTATTTAAATCACTGCTTTAGTTTAGCTATTAATTATAAATTTCTATATTTATAATGTTGCCTTTACAAACAACAAGTTATGTAAAATAAGGGGCAACACTGTTTTTACGTTTAACATTCTTTTGAAAGTTGTCAACTTATGTAAACAATGCTATTGTTACCTTTAACAACACACATACACACACTCCCCATAAACAAAACAAACCTAAATGTAAACAACTTGCTTCTTCTTTATGAAGAGTGCTGTGGAAATTAGGCAAGAGCGAGAAAAAATATCCTTTGCCAGTAAAATTATGTAAACATTGTACTTTAACACACAAACACACACGTACTTACAAGCAAAACAAACAATAAATTGCTTCTTCTTGGCAGAAAGCTGTCAAATTATGTAAACATTATTTTTTAAGAAAAACATAACAACTTTCTTCTTCTTAAAAAACAGGAATACAAATGTAATTAGGTCAGAGAGAGAGAAAGGGACAGTAATGTTTACCTTTTTAAACATGAATATCCATGGCAAAATTAGGTAAACAAATCTATGCAAACCACAAACCATAAACACTTTCTTCTTCTTTATACGAAAAAAATAAAGAGTTTAAATGGAAGTAGTGAAAAGAGAGAGCAAGAGGGGAGGTGTAATGTTTACCTTATAAACACGGATATCCGTTAAATGCCATTGTTTTGAGTAAACCATTTAAAAAAAAGAGACTTATTATTTGTAAAATACATGACTGGCATAAGAAAATAATAATAAATTTATACTTTTACTAATAGCTGGAAGTTTATAAGGGAAATCTAATATTTATTTAAACACGTATTAAGTTAAATAAACCACACATTTCAGTTTTTTTTTTATATTATTAATGTAAATATTTCGCCATAAGCTATTGAAGTAGACAATTGACGTCATAAATGTGCCAGAAACCAACAAAACTGAATGATGAAGTTGATGATGATGATGGTGTGTGTGGTTAAAAGACAAATTAAATAAAATGAAAAAAATGTGGAATGAAATGAATCATTTGTTTAAACAAAAATTTCTTTTTGTAGAAAAATAAAATGTTGTAATGGCGGTCAAGCGGGTTTTTAGTAAAAAAGGCAGATGTTTTTAAAATATTTAACTTTTTTAAACAAATCAAAACCTTTATAGTAATTAGGGGGTTTTAAAACAAGCTTTAATTAATTAATTTTATTAGAGAAGATTAATTGATTAATTAAAATCCCCTTTGAAGTTAATGACTTTTAAATTAAGTTATTTATTTAGACAAAAATTAGCAGCACGTGCAGCACGGGCAAATGTACTTAACATAAAAATTATTTAAAAATATTTTAACAATTTATTCTAAAAGTAGGTTTATTATTGATAATGTTTAAAAGTTTCTTAAAGTTTATCTTTAACCTTTAATTTGACAGCTAAAAATAGCTTTAAATTTCTTTTAAAAAAATTCCCAATTTGTTTAATTTAAATGATAAGTTTTCTAAAAAAAAACTGTTGTCAATTGTTCAAATTTGTTCTTTTTTAAGTCAAAGGTGTGTTGTTATTATTTTTTAAATATTAAAATATGAAATTTTAATTTATTTTTTATATATTTAGTTATTGTTTTATTTATTTTGTTTTGCTTTTTTGTGTTTAATTTTCTTAACAAAAGATAAGAATTATAAAATAAAAATTATTTTATAATTATTATACAAAATCACGTACTATTTTGCTAAACAATGACTTCCTAAAACGAGACCCTGAATAATTAGAACTTTTTGTCATTATAAAATGTTTTTTTTTTATTTATTTATTTTTAAATAAACAATATAAGTTACTACGTGTTTAATTGTAATGAAGAAGAAGCCATAAAATAAACAAAAAAAGAAAAAACTTTAAAAATTAATATTTGAAACATGAATTTTAAACAAATTTTATATAATTTAAAGAATTTTTTCTAAGTAAACAGAAGAAAACTAAAACATTCAATTTATTCATGAAATTGTAACATTAATTATGCAAAACTTATGTTTTTTAAGAATTTCTTTTAAAATACTTTAAATTTTCGAGTTATTCTTGTTTTTATTTAATATTTGCATTTCTTGTTCTTTTGATTACTGCTTAACACTGTTTAAACCTGAGTGGCAACTCTATTAATGTAAAGAAATTGACAGTTACAAAATAGTGCTGCCAATTAGGAAATTTTCTTTCTTTAAGCAACAAAACTAACAATTTAGCGTCTCAAGCTAAAATTTCAAGTTAAAAGCCAATAATTCTGGAATTTTATGAAAATAATTTCATATTATATACATTTTAAGGAACTTTAATAGAAAATTTTTAAGTTATTAAAATTTAAGAATTTTTTCTAAGTTTAAAAAAGTTCTTTTTAGTTAAACAAATTTTAAATTTTATTAATTTTTGTATAATTTCTTAGCTAATTTAAACTTTTTATGTTGTTTTATTTTGAAAATAATTAAAAATTCATATACTTTTTCTTTACTAAAGTTATTTTTAGTTTTATTATTAAAATTTTATGCTTTTTATAACTTTTTTATATATCAGGTTTTAAAAAATATTAAAAATTAACTTTGAATTGCAAAAAACACTATTTTTAGTTTAAAAGCAAATTGACGTCACAGTTAATCTAAAATTCTAATTATCTAAATTAAAAATTAATCGTAAAATTCAGCTATAATAACTCTTAATTTAAGATAATAAAAACCATAAAGCTAAAATTAGTTTTATTAAACGACTAAAATTTAGTATAATTTAAATTCAATGAATATTAAAAAAAGATAATAAATGAAACTTTAAAAAAAATAATTATATTTTAATAATTATTAAGTTTTGAGTTTATTTGTTTTCAAATAAAACTATTTCTAAGAAATCTTTGTTATTATTTACGTTTTAATAAAGGTCATTTAACTTTAACTCTCAATTTAAAAGTTTATTAAAGATAGTTTATTATTAATAGTTAATTTTTGTGCATTAATAATCAATTATTTCCGGCATATATTTCTTATATTTAATTGTAAAATTCCCACGCCTCAAAATAACCAAAAAAAAAAAAAAATCCTAAACAAACAAGTTCTTAAACATTTAAACTGTATAAATCTTATAATTTGAAACTGTCAAGGTTACCGTAGCACAATTACGTTTAAAAAGTTTTATTTTCAGGTTTTCAAAATGATAAATTATAAAAATATTAAGGGTTATTGACGTCACAAGCAAAACTCAACAATTCTTAACTTTAGTTCTTTTTATACTTATAATCTCTTTATAGTATTTTTATCTTAAATGTCTGTCAAAAATCTTGCGTTTTTTATTACACATTTTAAGTCACGGTTAAATTTTTTACATCATTTGCGGTTTTACAAGGTTTTTCTGTGGTCTGTCTCTATAACTTATTTAAAAATCTTTTTATGATGATGTTGTCTTGACTAGACTAGATCTAGAACTTTGTTTGTAGTTCATTTAACTCAAGGTTATTTAAAATAATAACTTAACAGACAGGTTTTTTTTTTAAGTTGCAATCAAATAATACAACAAAAATAACAGTATTAATTGTAAAACTAAACTTTGATAGCTTTCTTTAGCTTTAAAAAATTTTAATTTTAAAACTTTTTATAACATTTTCAAAGTTGTTTCTAATATTTCTTAATATTTTATTAGATTTTATTCTAATTTATAGAAATTTTATTAATTTTTTTTTTTTTGCTAATTTATCTAAATTAATTATTTATTTTAAATACTTTATATTTCACAAGCTTTTAACATTTTAGGCGTTTTTTTAGTTTGCTTTACTTGGTAACACTGTTTGAACTGTCAAAGAACTAGTAAACATTAAATATAACGGTAGTTAAGGCTTTTACACTTTCACACAAACTTTTGCTACATGTTTGTAAACAATCTAGGTGGCAACATTGTTTATAATAAAAGTAAACAACAAAAGTAACGGTAAACTAAATTCTCAGCACTTACTCTCTTAATTTCTTAATAGTTATAAACATTGTCAGAAAGTATATAAATAAAAACGCTAAAATCTCCACTTTTCTCCACAGTGCTGTAGAAATAGTAGTTAAAGTGGTAATTTCAAAATATTTCTTTAAATATGGAAAATTTTTAACTTTAATTTTATGAATATTAAAGAAAATATGTCTATAACAAATAAAATTAAACAAAAATCCCCATTTCATACACGTTGAATTTAAAATAAATGTTTAATTTAATAATTATAGGCAAATATTAAAAAATGGAAAGAATTTTTGGCGAAAAATTTGTTCTATTTAAATACAATATTCTGTAAATAACAATATTAATTACCTTATGGATAAATATTTGTACTACATTTACCTCAATTTGTTAAGAAATTTCCTACAAAAAAAATCCTTAAGAAACTTTGAACATTTTTTTTTTTTTAATTTTAACTTAAAAAAAGTTAATAACCTTGTCATTGTTTTAACTTTTTTAGTAAAATAACAAAAAAATCTTTAAAATCAATAAAAAAAATTAAGGAATTCCCATAAAATCATATGAATAATAGCACAAAAAAAACACTTGTGTC